AGGTCAGCCCCCTGCCTGCCCCGGCAGCTCCGAGGGCGGAGTCACCGCGGGGTGCTCGGATGGCTAGGAGCTGCGGGGGCTGTTAGACAGCGTGGGTGCTGGGAGCCAAACCCGGGGCCTTGCAGGAGCAGCTAGTGCTCTTTAACTCTGAGCCATCTCTCCAGAGCCTCTACAGTTTTCTTGAAAGGGAAGCTTAATTGAAGACGTTTTATTGAAAACGAACTTATTCTTTTATCCTATGTTCTTTATGTGATAAAGAACATCATTTCCAGGACTTAAAGAATCAAATGAAATTACAGAAGCTACTTTGAGCATATGACATGGCTTTTCTTGTTCGATTTTTATACGGCCAGTTCAGTCCTTCAGTGTAGTCCTGAATTTTTATGTGCCTGTGTCGGTTTTCTGGTTTCCAGCTCACATAGATTTCTGTTCTTAATATAAATCAGTCTTTGCCACTTCCCCAGCGCGTTGGCTGGCCTGCAGACATTTGCTTGCCTGAGGAGTTGAGGCAAAAGTTTTGAAAAGGACCTTTCTATGTGCCTGTGTCGGTTTTCTGGTTTCCAGATCACATAGATTTCTGTTCTTAATATAAATCAGTCCTTGCCACTTCTCCAGCGCGTTGGCTGGCCTGCAGACATTTGCTTGCCTGAGGAGTTGAGGCAAAAGTTTTGAAAAGGACAGGACTCTGTTACTGCTTTGTCTTTGTGTGCCCACCTGCATCCTGTAACCTCCTGTAAGATGGGTCTGCTCTTTTGATTGGTGCCCACTTTGGTTACTTCTGGCTCTACTTTGTCATTGTGTCTCCTACATGTATAGACCTAATGACTCAATAGTGGCTCTTGCCATTGGAAGTGCAAAGTTTGAATTTGGGATAGTGGAAGTGGGAGTGGTCATAGTGCTTGGGGTTGGGTGTGTGCCAGGGTGAAAGGGATCCAGATCAGTTACTGATCTAATTTGAGGTAATGAGGGCCTAGAGTATGGCTATGAAGGAGAAACTGAAAGGTATACAGGGACTGGTGAGATGGCTTAGAGGGTAAAGCCTTTGCTGTGTAGGCCTGACAACCTCCTGAATTTAATCGGGGGATACCCATGTGAAGGCAGAAGGAGAACCCACTCCAGAGTTCCTCCAACCTCCACACAGGTGCCGTGGCACACATATACCTCATATCATACAATAGTTACATAAATGAATAAATAAATGAAAAGATAAATAGGATACATTGTGGCTGTTGATGCCAAATGGACCTGGGGGCTGGAGAGTGGGTGTAGTAGATAAGGCAAAGGGCTTGCTTTGTGGAACATACATACAGGTCTGGAGTCAGACTGGGAAAAATGACAATTTCTTAGCATGTAAGGGCAGGGGGACAACTCATTTTGGAAGAACGTGGTTGTCATTTTGCTTTTGTGTGTGGTTCAGGTGATGGTGAGACATAGAGCAGCATCTAGGAAAATGCACAGAACCAAGTGGGTGACCTAGATCCTGCTCACAGCACTGCCATATGTAACTGATGCCCAGTTCGTGTGTTAGGTTCTGTTTTCCCATTAATAATGTCAATGTGATAAAACAAAGTGTAGCCAACTCTTAAGGTTAGTGATTCTGAGGATAGGGAAACTCAACACAGCTACAGATCTGAAACTAAAACTCAGGTCAGAACTGGACAAGTTCTGGGATGTGACTGATGCTTAGCCTCTTTCCTTTTCTGCCTTTGGTAAATGTATGACAGCAACATTAACATTTACTGAGCTGCTGTGTTCTAAACGCTGTTCTGGGAACTTTACACTTACCATCTCATTTACTATTCAGAAGAACCATTTGTGTGTAGGTACTCTTTCCAGAAGTGGAGTTTACTTTTCAGTGCCATGTTGCTCAGAATGTTTTAGGCTGAAGTTATTGAGAATTCTAAATATTTAAGGGTAGGCAGAAGATGAAAGCTGGTAACAGCTCCCAGCCACTTCCTGGTTTTGGTTGGTATTAGACTTAGCAGTAGGTATGCACTGAGTCCTCACTTGGTCATCTACTGTCTATCTCATTCTCTTTGTCTCTGTTTTACTTTTCCCGGCTTGGAAATTTGGAATTTATAAGTTCCTCACTTTACCTCCCTGATCCCAAGAGACAGAGCCTGTGCCTCTTCTTGACCTTTTTCTTCTTCATTAAATGTGTTAATGTGTTTGAACTTCCAACTGGGAAGTTTGAAGTGTGACTTAGCTTTTCTGTCTTTTTAACATCACAAATGTGTGATGTCCCTTTTCTGTTCCTCATCTTCTGCCCCATAGCTTTTGAGTCTTGAACATATCTCCCTGTGTCTTTAACACTGAAAAAAGGAAAAGATGTTGGGAGACCCACTGAGCAGTTACTATTGTACTGGTTGCTTAATCATTTGGATAAAGTTACTGTTGACTAGAAATGCAGATATGTGTCTCCAAGGTTTGTAAGGGAGAGTGAGACTGGCCAGGCCAACATTCACACGTTCTAATGATTTTTTAGTCTTTGCTTAAAAAACAAAGTAGAGTGAGATGGGCAGCTTTGAATATTTCATGGGACACATTGCATCTGGGGGTGAATAGGACCAACATTTCTTTGATTTTAGTATCCTGGAAAGAAAAGGAGAGGCCTGAGCAAAACCCCAAATCCTGGTAAGCTCCAAAGGAGGTAGTGCTGCTGATGACATCTGCGCTTCTTGATGGCTCTTTTGGAGAATCGCTGTGGATAGCCACATGGATTACAGTCTACCACGCTGGTGATTGCCAGGCCCACACAGTAGCTCTCCTAGGTGTCATCTTCCTCTCAGTCCTCTTTAAAACCTGGAAACTTTGTCCTACACTGTAGATTTTCTTCTACTTATTTTTTCTTTCTTTGTACCTTAGCTATCCTAAATTGGCCTAATAATCATTGGCTTGTATGTCATGGCTCTCTTTTAGTAATTAATTAGATGATTAATTAACCAGTGGAATCATTACCTATGTATGATGACATCAGCCAGTGGGAACCCAAACACTGCAGTGGACTGCAGTTCTCCCTGTGGATCTCCTCAGCCTGTATGCCTGTCTTTCTCCTTCACTTCTTTGTTAACTTTCTGTTGCTTTTGCCTTCTTCTTTGTTATTATCTTAATGGGTATATATATGTATATATATATAATACATATATATGTATGTGTTGCATAAGCATGTGTATGTAACTTAAATGTATAACCAAACAATATGTCATTTACTTTTTTTGTTGATATACTTCATAAGAAGCTTATTCCTTCTGTAATAAACTGGTGGTAGCCTTTTTATTCAAAATACATTATTAATATTGTCCAAATTGTGTGTAATACTCCGCTGTATAAATGCATCACAACATTTGGGTTATTTCTAAGAATTTTTTCATTAGTGACAGACTTGCTGTCAATATTCTTATCCATGTTGCTTTAAGAACTTGTGCAAGACATATACTAGTTTTCAAAAGATAGTTCTAAGGTTTAGCAGGTCTATGACATGAATGTGCTTTCTAACCAGAGTCACTTAACAATATGCTCAGATAGAGGAATGAAACAAGGATGACATGCAGAAAGTAAGGAGACTAGATAGGAAATGATTGTAAAATTCCAAGCAATATGACACATCTGCTATTGGGAATGGAGAAGTATATGTTAGATTAGAGAGACTGGAAGATGGACATGCTTGAACCTCGAAGTTAGCTGCAGATGAGCTTTGGGGAGAGATGTTCTTCCTATGTTTTGTCCCTGAGATAACAATATAGGTGGTGACACTGTTAGTGAAATAAGAGGTAAAGATGAGGAGGTGCTGGAGGGAAAGCTAGTGAGCTTACTTTTTCCCAGGTTGAGTTTTAGAGCCTTGAGATGTGGGTGTGAGAGGATGGAGACAGTTGGCATAAATGATGTCTTTTGAACCCTGTCAGTAGCCAGTTTCGGGGAAGTTATAGCTTCCTCCCCTCCTTTAGGAGGTCACCTGTACCACTGAAAATAGATGAAAAAATAGGCTGCTGAACTTGGGAAATACTATGTAAAGTAATCCTAAGAAAAATTATCATGCATATTAATATTCTAAAATGTTTGTCCTCTGATCTGTTACAGTTTTTTGGATTTATGCTGAACAGTAAATACACTTTGATATTGTTGATCAAAAGAATGATTTTATGTTAATGATCCTGATACATAATTGAAAATGTGCATTTGGACTGATTTGGGTGAGGCGTGTAGGTTAATGGTAGAGTGCTTGCCTAGCTTGGGGGAGGGGAGAAAAGAGAATTACGATATGCTACAGTAGAAATATGGGTACTTTTTAAATCATTTAAAGAAAAGTCTTTAATTCTTTTAAATTTAATTCCTATATTTAATATTTTTTCATTATTTTTATTTTATGTGTGTGAATGTATTGCCTGCACGTGTGTAAGTGCACCCATGTCATGCAGTGCCCAAGGAAGTCAGAAGAGGGTGTCAGATCCCCTGGGGCTGGAGTTAGCCACCACATGGATGTTGGGAATTGAACCTCGGTCCTCTGCAAGAGCAGCCAGTGCTCTTAACTGCTGAGACATCTCTCCAACCCCCTAAATAAAGATTTTTTAACTAACTTTTTGTTCTCTCGACTATTGCCTTCTTCAGAGCAATTTGTTTCTTGGTAAGGATAGTTAACGGCCATTACTTGAGTGAAAAACATGTGAGATAAAGTTTTAACTTTACAGTATTTGATGTTATGTTGCTTCTTACACATTTTCTCTTCTTCTTTTCAGTTATTTGACTGGATCAAGATTGGAGATCTGACTTCCAAAAATAGTCATCTATTTGTAAACCTTCAATCAAAAGGCTTACAAGGGGGAGGTATAATACCGATTTTAGCAGAAGCACATGTCATATTTTAGTGCACTGAAAATTTCATTTTAATGTGGAAGCCGAGAAGAAGTGTTGGTTTCTAGGGTCTGGGAGGAGGGAGAAATGGAAAAGTATTGGTCCAAGAGTGTGAAGTTTCAGTTAGGAAAAAAAAAAAAAAAAAAGAGATCTGGGGATCTGCTGCACAGTGGAGGGCCTGCTTGTGATGAGTAGTACTGTATTGTATACTTAAAATTTGTTAAGAAGAGTGAGACATAATGGTACATGCCTGTAATCCCAGCATATGGGAAGCTGAGGCAGGAGGATCTTGTGAGTTTGAGGCCAGCCTAGGCTACTTAGCAAGACCATAGTAGGTAGATCTTAAATTAATTACTCCTCCACAAAAGGAATAAAGGCAAAACAAGAACTTGAGAAACTTTTAGAGGTGATGAGTAAGTTATTGCAATGATGTTATAATGATTTGGTTTGTTCATGGGTATATACCTACCTCTAAGTTCATGCATTAAGTATCTAGCTCTTTGTCGTATTCAAATAAGTAGCTTTAAAGATTGTGTTTTAAAAGTGAAATAGAAGCATTTTATGGGATACAGTGAGGAGTGCCCAAGCAAGAGGAAAATGATGGTGGATGGAGCTAATAGAGTGATGAATGGGAGACATTTGTGGAAATGGTCTTGTTGAGGCTTGGTCTTTATGGATGACTGTACCAAAATTATGCACATCCACACAGGTTCAGCATCTCTAATGCAGAAATCCAAACTAAGCCAAAGGCATCTGGCATGATGCCCAAAATGGAAAATTCAACACTTCTCCCATGATAGTTTACAGTCAAAACACAGGCACACTAAAAATTTTATGTAGAATTACCTTCAGGCTATGTGAATCAAGTATATGTTAAACATAAATGGATTCTGTGTTCTGGACTTGAGTCTTCAAGATACCTCATTATCTAATACAAGTATTCCAAGTCTGAAATCTGAAACACTTCTGATTCCAGCAGTACTAGTGAACTAGGTACTCAGCCTTTGGTGATGATTCAGTTGTGTTTTGTACTGATTACTTTTTTTTAATGCAGAGTTTAAAAATTGCCTGTCCTTGAGGAATTCCTTCCTCTATTGCCCTCCTACACCTTCCTGCCACCTATGTATCTGAGGGTGGCCTGGTTAGTCAGTGTGGAACAGTATAGGCAGGGCTTGAAAGTACTTAACCTGGAAAATCATTGAGACAGGGGACTTGGTGAATTTCAGAGCCATCAGCATATTGATTGAGTCTGAGAGCATTAAAAATGTGAGAACAAGTGCCATTATTTCTGGCTTGTTTATCAGTAAAGAGTCAATAAGCAGCACCAGTTATTTAATTTACTTTGGAAAATACCACTACCTTTATTCCTCTGTGTCATACTTCTTATTTTTGAATTAACCTTCTGTGATAGCATATTTTGGAAAAATTCTTTGAAAACTCGCTTGTAATTGAGTTAAAAGTCTCGAGATACATTTTTGGGGGGACTGATGGGTCTTTTGAGACGGTCTCCCCGTAGCCTCAGCTGGCCTGGAACTTGCTATGTAATGACCAGTTTGGTCTCTATCTCAGAGAGATCTGTCTGCTTCTTCCTGCCAAGTGCTAAGATTAATGGTGTGTACCACCATGCCCAGTCTTAGTCTTGAGATTTGATAACACTAAATCTGCTTTACTTTCTAGTGAGTTGCTTAACCAGGTGGATTTTTGTCCTAGGGTTCTGCAGTGAGATATATGAAACCATGTGATAGAACCAATCATACATGACTGATAAGTCATGAAATTTTGTTTTCATAAATCATTTAAAATATATTCTGCATTTTAGGTCGATTTGGTCAAACAACTCCACCACTTGTAGATTTTCTCAAGGACATTTTAAGAAGATATCCAGAAGGAGGACAGATTCTTAAGGTATTTTTTATGTTCATGTATCACTTGCTCTTTCAGAGAAAATGACTTATTGTTTAGTGTTTACATTTTATCTAGACTTAAGTGTACTTACCTCCCTGATCACAATACATCATTGAATGGAGTAGATCTGAGAATATGTTGGCATGAAGGGAAAAGATTTGGGAGTATAGGAATACACCAAGCTGCGATGTGCTGTCTTTAAACAGTGTCCTCTAGGAATGATTACATAGAACATTGAACTGTATGGGATTACATACCAGTCACCAACCAACTAGTCAATCAACATAAGTCCATGTTGGAGTCCAGCAACACATACTCATTTGACCTCTGGATTTAGAGGTTTGCTTTTGTGCAAGAGTTTATTTAATAGGGCAATTATATTTTTGTTATGTATGCTCATGTATTTTTTTGAGACAGGGTCTTACTATGTAGCCCAGGTTGGTATTGAACTCTGTATAGTCCAGCCTGGCTTCAAACTCAAAATCCTGCTTCAGTCTCCTGAGTTGGGAGGATATAGGCATGACTTGTGATACAGTCTTTTAAGTTTGAGTATAATCATTAAAAACTAAACAAAACTAAATAGCTGCAAAAAAAGCACAAAAGGGGGCTGGAGAGATGGCTCAGCAAAGGACCCGTGTTCGATTCTCAGCCCCCACACAGTGGCTGACAACCAGTTCCAGGGGAATCTGACACTCTTTTCTGACCTCTGCAGGCACTGCACTTACATGCAGGTTGTACATTCAAACACACAACACACACACACACACACACACACACACACACACACACACAAAGGACAAAGGATTTTTCAAAAATTAGGTTTTGTGTTTAGTAAGAAACCTCCTTAATGAGTTTTAATAGTAGACCAGTTATATGTTTTCCTCATTTTTACCTTCATATCTCAGCCCTTATTTCATTTTCAAGCTTAGTAAATTTTTAGAGGGTAAGGATGAGGTCTATTAGCTCATGTAGCCATGCTTGGATAGGCACTGAATGAAGGCTGTGCTGTCATTAGTAACTGTTACAGGATGGGATACTGGCAATTTCAATATGACCTTCAGAATGGGAGCCAGTGGTTCACAGAAGGTTAATTTGAAAAACTATCTTTATGTTGGTATATTAGGAAAATAAAGAAGAGAAGAGTATGATTATGGACTTGTCATGGGGATAGGAAGGAGTGACCAGAATCCATTCAGAAGGAGAGTTCAGTTGTTGATTATAGGAGTTGGGTCTCATTGACCCAGAAGTAAGTGGTAGAATCTTCCGTGGAAATGAGACTGAAGTTTTTGTGGATGTTTGTGTTATAGCCAGCTCCTTAGAATCTCTGCTTCTTGAGTATTTTAGTACTACATTACTATATTAATATAATTATCTTTTTGTGTTTTTCATGGTTAGGAATTAATTCAGAATGCAGAAGATGCTGGGGCCACAGAGGTTAAATTTTTATATGATGAAACTCAATATGGAACAGAGACTCTTTGGTCAAAAGATATGGCGGCATATCAGGGTAAGAATCGATAATTGGGAAAAATTTTTATTTCTGTGATGGTTTTTAATGATTTACAGTACTTTGTTTAAAGAACAGTGGAATTATCATTTGTATTTCTTGACATACTTAATTCTGTTTTCTGCTTTTGGTGGGAATAATTGTGAATAACTGTATAAGATAGAAAGTTACTGAGAAAACGAAGTTTCAGCTCATTTTCCTAGCTATATTTTCAGAGAATTTTAAGTTATATGATTTAATTTATTTAATTTTTTGAATTATTTTTGTTGTATAAGCGTTTTGCCTGCATGAATGTAAGTGCATCTATGCATGCAGTATCTTCGGAGGCCTGAAGAGGGTGTTGGGTTCCCTGGAACTGGAGTTACAGATGGTTGTTAACTTTCCTGTGAGTGCTGGGAACCTAACTGGGGTCCTCTGGAAGAGCAGCCCACTGAGCCATCTCTCTAGCCCCACATAACTTTATTTTTAAAAGACGTTTTGTGAAGGCAATCATCATTACTAGTAATTGAATACTTAGCATTTATTATAGCAGTTACAACTACTCTTAGATCAGATGTGTGATTTGGCAATTGCACTTTCTTTGTTCTAGAGAAGAGGTATGTGATGTGGTAGCATCAGGAGGCTTGGACTCTGCTCCTGACTCCTGCCACCAGCTGACTCTGGGCCAGTTCTCCACAGGTTGGATCATTCACTAGTGAGGGGATTAGCTTTAAGGATTCTTGACTCTAAGTCTGTAATTCAGTGTAGCCACGTGGAATGATGTTCAGTTTACAATCAAGAGACTACAGGCCAAGTCCTGATCCTTCACAGGCCCAGGCACTGGCAGAGCATGTGGGCCCTCTGATCCCCTGTGCACTCTGCCCACCAACAAATGGTAGGAAGGGCAGATTTTCTTCCTAGTTATTTTGAGGTTTGAGACCCTAGATATAATGCTTCTGCCTGGGGGCATTTCGATGTTGTGCTGTGGAGCCATAAAGACCAGAATGCAGAGATCCTAGAAGCATTTTGCTTCAGAATTCTGCCAAAATGTCTAGGTTTTTTTGTTTCCAGTCTTCATTTTAAAAACGCTGAAACAGTCACACCTCTCTTCCCAAGACTAAGAGATCATTGTGGAAGAGGGAGTGGAAAGATTGTAAGAGCCAGGGACAGTTGATGACTACAGTGAAACTGTGTTGTGGACATAACAGGGCAGTTATACATATGAACTGACAGCGACTGTGACTGCATGCAGGAGACCTGAACAAGATCAAGCCAGACAAAATCCCTGCGTAGAGGAAATAAGGGGTTGGGGGGTTGTCGGGGGTCAGGAAGTCCACCCTTAGCTGAGGCACTATTAGCAATTGATGCCTGCTGGGAGAGTGAGAGTTGTTTTCTTCAAAGATGCAGCCCCTGAGAGGCTACCCATGTTCTAGTAAATGATCGTACTCCTACACACATACTGGCAGCACCAAGTCGACTTTGTGGGTTTATAAAAGAGAGCACATGAAATTGGGATGGAGTAGTTATGGTGGGAATAGGAAGTAACTGAAGGGAAAGAATGGGGGGTGGACTTGATCAAAATACAATGTATGTCTGAAATTAAAAATATATATTGAAACAGGATTATTTAGTTGAGTTTGTGCACGGTTAGAGATAGGCTTTTCAAAAGTGATATCCAAATAGCCAACTGAAAATAAAAGTGGACATAAAGAAGTAGGTGGCAGTAGGCTAAAGATATAGCTTTGTGGACGGCATGCTTGTCTAGAGTGCAGGAAGCCTGGGTTTTGAACCTCAGCACCACATAAACCAGGCATGATGGCACATATTTGTCATCCCAGCACTTAGAGCTGGAGGCAGGAGGATCAGAAGTTCAGGGATGTCATTGATTACATAGTGAGGAAGTGTGTAATAACCTAGGCTGGGCTGCATAAGACCCTGCCTCAAAAATTTTTTTTTGGTGGCAGTGATCTTTATGTTTAATAACATCTTTCCAGGGAAGCCTGTGCTCTTGCATATTTGCGAGTCTTTCTCTTGCATTCAGATATGAGCAGTCATCCTCTTGGGTCAGTTTTGTTTTCAGTCAGTCAAACCAGATGTGCAAAAGTAGATCTTACCCAGTGCCATACTTTCCTCAGAATTTCAAACATACAGTTAAGACACACAGGTGAAGGAAGCATGGAGAAGTACTGGACTTCCAGCATTCCCCCTGGTCATTTTGGGCCATACTAGGATACTCCTTGGCCTGAGTGATAACATGGCAGTCCATCAGTCACATAGAGAGGGCTAATCACATAGCTCATGACACTTTGAGCTGGCTACAGGTATAAATTCTTGACTTATTTACAATAAGTGACATTAACCTTCTGGCTTTTTGCCTATCTGTTTGTTTTGAGACAGGCTGTTATTATGTAGACGAGGCTGTTCTCAAACTCAGAGAAGACCCACCTATCTCTACATTCCCAGTGCTGGAATAACAGGTGTGAGCCACTTCCCAGCTAAACTGCCTGAAGGTGCCAGGGACTCCTTAGTAACTTGTCAGAGTGTTGGTTTGGAGACCTGTTCTTAGCATGTTTTCTGGGAGGTGTGGCTGGGTCATCTCTTTCTTTCTTGGTATACCTTAGGTAAATGGAGAAACTAGATTGCAGGCCTCTGCTAAGGTTTTTCTTCCAAGATAGACGTTTTTGTCTTATTTTCAGGATTTTCATTCTTTCCATGTGTCACTTTCAGAATTGAGAATTCCCTTTTGGATCAAAGTAGATATTGGGGTATTTAAAAATAATTGTTGGTGTTGGAGGCAGAGAGACCCAGTGCTTCCAAGTTAGTTGTAGCAAAGACACAATATATGACTTTTTTCCTAATTCCAGGATGAGTCAGATTATAATCATACTTTGATTAAAAATGTTAAGTAATGACTAGGTCCTCCCTACTGTGTACAGAGGTGTCATGAGAAGTAACACATGTAGCTGACTTACGAGTTCCCTGTGCTTCATTGGGGTTGTTTTTGTGTGTCTTTGTTCTGACCTTTGCAGCCGGGGTGTAAGGACACTCCACATCCCAGGCCATACACTTCGAGGGATGCTTTCCACCTTGGGGACTTGTACTAATGATAAATGTAGGGTGGGGAATAGCACTTGACCTCATAGGATGGGGATGTGAGGGAGAAATGATTTTTCAGTTTGTAAAAACAAAACAAAATGAAATTGGTCTGTCTGTTCTATTGTTTTGCATTCTAACCGATTTTTTTTGTTATTGTTGTTGCCTTTTTTTTTTTTTTTTTTCTCCTTGGTTTTTTTGAGACAGGGTCTCCCTGTAGCCCTATCTGGCCTGGAACTCACTACGAAGACCAGACTGGCTTTGAACTCACAGAGATCCGCCTGCCTCTGCCTCCCAA